AGAATACTCAATGAATGCCATTTTAAAATCATTGTTGGCACGAGAAATAGTTTCGGTAGGAGTGTAGAAGTATTTTGATTTTTATTTCAATAGTGATAGATGTTTGATTTTTAGAGACTATTATTATGTCCCACGAAAAAGCAGAAATTTTGTTTATGTATTTGACTTAATAGGACAAGGTTATTCTATAAAACTGATACGCTCTATATTTTAATGAATAGAGTTTCTATTTACGCTAGACATTTGATTAATGGTATTTATATTTGAAACTATTTCATATATAAAATAAAAATTACTTATATCAGTTTTGTGATTCTTGTTTGGAAGGCAATATGATCAAGATATCCTTTTTGACAAAAGAAAATGAGCCAAAAAAATATTAGAACTAGTTCATTCTAACATGTGTGGACCTATGAATAACCTGGAAGAGAGGACTACGAGTATTTTTTCACAAATAATTACTCAAGATTCAAATACATTTACCTGATGACTTAAAAGTCAAATACTTTTAAGAAATTAAAAGAGTATCAGCTAAGATTGAGAAACATTTTAGTAAGAGGATTAAGACACTTCGATAAAATCAAGTGATAGATATCTCTCGCAAAAATTTAGGGACTAACCAAAAATGATGAATGGGATTGTGATACTCCACTCGCCATTGGTACACCCCGACATAATGTCATTTTAAAAAGAGGAAACATGATATTGTAAGATATGGATAGGCCAATGAGGAGTTTCACAACTCTCTCTCTCTCTCTCTCTCTCTCTCTCTCTCTCTCATTTTAGGATATACATTGGAGATAACAGCATATATTCTTAACTTAGTTTTTTCTAAGTCTGTTCTTAAGACTCCTCTAAAATTGCTATATGGATTTAAGTCCTTCTTACATCACAGAGAAGAAGAAAACACTCAAGTAGATCAAAACATCGGAGATCGAAAGAGGGATGTTATCCGCTTTCCTCGAAACCTTAAAAGAGCCTTTTCTTTTGTCCGTCTAGGCACAGCTTCGTCGAACTTCGTAGGAGGGTCCATCTCATGTGTTGAATGGAAAGGCAAAAAAGTTGGAGTCTAGGTCAGAGATATACCTGATTGTAGGACACCTTAAAAGTACCAAGGATATTATTGTTATAGTTCTCTAGATATGAAGGTCTTTTTAAGCACAAATGCAACCTTACTAAAAGATAATTTTATTAGAGTAAGGTCATGTTAGAAGAAATGAGTGGGAGTAATTTCACCCTGTCAATCCCTAGAATAAAGCCTGGGGCTATACATCTATGGTGTCAAGTATACCTTCACATCGTAATCTAAGTGGAAGAGATGAGTTGTCATCTCATCTAATAAATTAATAGAACATTGAAGGTAATAAGAAGGTAATGACATCACCTAATGGTAATGCTAGCATTGATGAAAATATTACAATTCCAAAAGATGCCACAATCCAAGATCAACCACCACTTAGATAAATTCAGGTCATCAGTTCGCCTTCTAGGTACTTATTATTGGAGAGTCCAATTTTACGATTTCCACGATACAAGTTAATTATATGACTTCATATAAAGAGGTTGTGGATGATGTAAATGCAATTATCCATTTATGGATTGAAGCAAACATCGAGATCTTGGAACGAAAGATTCGACGAAGTCATTAAGACATATGATTTTAATCAAAACTTTGACAAAACCTGTGTCTATAGGAAATTACAAGACAAAATTTTTCTTGGTGCTTAAGGTGATGATATTCTACTCATTGAAAATAATATGGGAGTGATATCGTCTACGAAGGCGTCTTTTGTTCAACAATTTCATATGAAGGACTTAGTGAAACTATTTATATTTAAGGTTTTCAGATTTTGAGAGATTGAATACTCCTGAAGATATTGAGTACATGAATAGGATATCTTATGCTTCAAAAGTAATCCCATGTTATGCTGAGCAATAGACCTAACATTTGTTATATTGTTGATAGTCGATATCTATTTAACCCTAGGATCAGAACATTGAATGATGATAAACCATATGCTTTAGTACCTTCAGAGAACAATGAATTATATGCTCATCACCGAATCTTATTCTAATGGGTTATGAAAATTCGGAGTTCTAGACTCATAAAAACTATTGCAAGTCTACATTAGGATAGTTGTTTAAGCTTGATGGTGGGTCCATTACTTGAAGAAATATTAAACAATCATGCATTGCTAATTTCACCATTAACACCAAATGCAAGATAAAAGAAAAGAAAATAGCTAAGTACGATTACTACCCAGATGTTCGGTTAATGACTAATTCTTAACGGGTGTCGATAATGCCTGTTAAGAATTGATCAGCTAAAGATGACCAGTTAACATTTGGTCGATTATAAGATCCCTTACTAATAGACAATTGATTAATTGACATCCTCTTAAAACATGTTCGATTAAATGATAGTTTGTTTCATTAACCGACGCCAATTAATTAATCATATGCTAACAGACAAATCATTCATCTGCTAAAATGCGATTGGCAGGATCAGAACATTGAATGATGATAAACCATATGCTTTAGTACCTTCAGAGAACAATGAATTATATGCTCATCACCGGATCTTATTCTAATGGGTTATGAAAATTCGGAGTTCTAGACTCATAAAAACTATTGCAAGTCTACATTAGGATAGTTGTTTAAGCTTGATGGTGGGTCCATTACTTGAAGAAATATTAAACAATCATGCATTGCTAATTTCACCATTAACACCAAATGCAAGATAAAAGAAAAGAAAATAGCTAAGTACGATTACTACCCAGATGTTCGGTTAATGACTAATTCTTAACGGGTGTCGATAATGCCTGTTAAGAATTGATCAGCTAAAGATGACCAGTTAACATTTGGTCGATTATAAGATCCCTTACTAATAGACAATTGATTAATTGACATCCTCTTAAAACATGTTCGATTAAATGATAGTTTGTTTCATTAACCGACGCCAATTAATTAATCATATGCTAACAGACAAATCATTCATCTGCTAAAATGCGATTGGTTTACTGACTACCATTAACATTTGGTTGGTTAACGTGCCATTGTTTCATGACACAAAATAGAGTGCAAACTTCTTTTCCATAAATTTGTTCGAAAATTCACTAAAGGCATGTTTGATTTGTCACATTTTTCATGGAACCATTTTCCACAAAAATGACTTGTTTGATTGCAACATTTTCTACGGAATTCCATTTTCCAGCTTTATTTTATTTTATTTTTTAATTTTTTTAACAACGGGAACAAATTTTATCCACAATTATAAACAATTATATCCCTGTAGTTGACTATTTTAATGAAAAAAAGACAAACGAACACCAAAAGATCCAAAGTTTCAACATTTTTCAGCGAAAAATTATACCAATAAAATATATTTAATTGACAATTCTCAAGAAAACAAGTTCTCAGCAATTCAATTCCCTAAAATTCATTTTCTTTTTAACTAAATTTTATTTTTGGAATCAAACGGACCCTAATTTATAAAATATTTTGTGCCCATTTATTTAAACAAGCTAAAATAAGTAAACATAACATTTAATAATTATAAATGAAACACGTAAAATTAAAAATGTTCTTGTGAATACAAAATGTGAGAGTGTTGCTTCAAAAATTATTCACGAGATACTTGCATTGAGTTTTAAGACCAATATGAAAAAATATGATAGAACTAAGAGGATTTAGTGTTTAAGGAGATAAATATTGGTAAAATAAAATGAGAGAGCAATTATTTTATTTTTTTTAATTTGAATAGGATTTATTGTGGGCCATTTGTAATATGTTTGTTTTTATCAAAAATATTATTTGTACATCAATTTTCACACTCTCTCACAAAGGTGGGATCCACAATTATTTTAATCGTGGACCCCACCCACTTGTATGTGTGTGTGTTGTGAAAAAAGGTGTGAAAAAAAGTGTACGTATAGAACGGTGTTTCATATCTATCTTTAAGGGTAAATATGTTTATATAACAATTTTTGTTAACTACACCACATTTTAATTATAATAAATGTTCCTAAAATTTTCTTATTTTTATACTTATGTTCTCAACTATTTTTTTAAAAATGTTTATTATTAACTCTATATTAATTTTCACATCTTATCTATAGAGACGATTTTATACGAAATGTTCGTTATGAAGGTCAAAAAAATATATTTATCTCACGTATTTTTAAATAATCGAAATAAACAACTAATACAAAAGTTAAATAAAATATTTGTCCATCTTTTCAATGAACGCTACTAGAATATTTGTATTTAATTAGTGATAAAAGATAAAATATGTTAATTAATTGAAGGTTATGAACAAAAATGCGACAAGAAAAAATTTGATGACATAAAATCTTAAGTGAATAAATATTGAAAACCTTTATTATAATTAAAATATGGTGCATATATATATAAAAAAAAAATTGTGTGAATATAGTTGTCTTATCTTTAAATTATTTGCCCCTGTTCATATTAGATACAAATCAGATTTTTAATAAATATTAATAAAAATTGATGGAACGTAGTTTCAATGTTTTGGGTCCTATAAAATATGTGAATAAAATTAATTATTTACTTTAACTTAGATTTTAATATTTTCTTTTTAACTGAAGTCTTTATTAATTTTAAATATTGACTTTAACAACTTAAAATTTGTAAATTAGCCCTTAATTCAATTTAGAAGTTATTTTAAAATTTAAATCAATAATAAAATTTAAATATTTCATGAAATTCAAAATATTTTAATCACATACATTAAAATTTATGTTAATGTGACATTAAGCCCTTGTTTGAACCATATTATTTAAATGAAAATGTATTTTTGAATAGTATATTGATGGAAAATGCGTGGTTAAAAAATAAAGAAATATTTTTAATTTACGTGTAATATTATTTTATTAAAAAATATATGGTTGAAATGATCGTTGAAAAATATATTTTTTTAAATAATGTGGGCCTAAATGATGGGCTCAATATATTGAGGTTCTAACCAATAGGCTACTTATTATTACTCTTGAAAATATTTTGCTTAGCGTTACTCTTTATCCTCTTCCCCACGTGTACTGCCCTATTGTTCTGGTTCTTCCCCGAGCGTCTAACGAGAACCAGATCTTTGACCAAAATTTTGTTTGAAGCTCAAATTCGACAGTTGACAGAGTAAGTGTGTGAAGATGAAGCTACTTGGATGGTGGTTGATGCTGGTGGGTTTACTTCGTTTAGCATCGGTATGGTTCGGATTCTTCAACATTTGGGCTCTTCGCATTGCCGTTTTCTCCCAAACCACAAGTATGTATGTATGCATTTACATTTTATTCTTTTCACTTGCTGCACGTTTTGTCGTTTTTCTTTTTCGGTGATACGTAGTCGATTTGATGTAACTCGGTATTTGACAATGTTTAACGAGATCCCAAATTGAACGAATTCTCCTACGTTTGCTTGTGTTGGATCCACGCTCACCAAATAAGCTACATTCATTATCAGAGAGACTGTTAGTGAATCTTCAAGATTAGATAATTCAGATCTTTACTGCCCTTTAGTACCCCCTTTTACATTTGCACATAATTTCACTCACGCCGATTATTTATTTATTTATTTATCTTTTTCTCAGAGAACAATTAGATATTTATAGGCATCATGTTAATTTGCAATTTCCAAATGCTGTATCGTTGTCACCTAAGATGGATGTGTTGGAAACGAAACAACAGTTTTGAGCTTTTGTATATTCAGAGAAAATTCCCGGTAGTTAAGATTTGTAGGAAAAAAACTCAGTCTCTATGGTGAATTTGGAGAGTATAACCAACTTTGGTGAAGTGTTTCATGTTGCTTATCAATGCTATTGATCTTTGCTGCAGCTTTACTTCTTAGTAATGCGACTTGAAAATATTAGTGGGAGAATGTTATTCGAAAGATATCTTGATTGGTTTATGGCTTATGAATTCCTCTCGACTGGAGTATATTGCGATTTTGCATTTCTAATGTGTATGATTTACTTTCTGGACGTTTCTCTTTTTATTTCAGATTTTATTGGGAGCTAATTAATTCCATTGCATTGCATTACCCAATGCATCTGTTCAAAATGCGTGCATCTGCTTTAAATCTTAAAGGTGTAGAAAGCAATTAGTAATTGCAAAACCGGCTTAGAAAGTAGAAGGAATATATTGGATAGATGCAGGGGGATTTTAGAATGTATTTCATAATTTCATCTGGCAGAATTGGTAAATCTATGCACTGATTTTTATGCTATTAAAAGCTATGTTGCTCGGTCTCTCCATTTTTGGCCAAGTATTGTCGACACGACACGGATACGGATACGGGATACGGGTCGGATACTCGGCTTTGAACTCGGACACGGCTGGAAATGGAGGAATGAAAATGGCAGCAGCATTTAACCGGTAATTGCAGACAGGTAGACAGGGAAGATGAGGGTTGGAGCTTTGGACGAGACAAAATTTCTGGTGCATTAATTGCTTTTTGATGAGTTAGTCTCTTTCCCCGTAAATTGCACCAGATTTGAAGATTCCTCCTATAATGGGTCAACTCTTGGAATTGCAAAGGGCATTTGGAATTGCAAAAGATGTTTTATCTGCCTTCTTGGAATTTTTGCACCAGAAAACTCCACATATTTTTCATCTTCCTCTACAGAAAATTATTTTCTTTAATCGAAAATTCAATCAAAAAATTCCAGAATATTGCTTACTCCTAATTTTCAAGTATGAATCCATCTAACTCTACACTAGAAACACCTCAACGACCCTCAAATCTTCGTGCAAATCAATTCTATGATAAGCCACTATGGAACCATGTGAAGGTACTGACCGTAGCAGTGAGCGGAGGCGGAAATCGGACTTGGAGTTGCAACTATTGCAATAAAAAAGTGACTGGATCTTACACTAAAGTGAAGGCTCATTTGCTAAAACTTCCAAATCAAGGAGTCGAGTGTTGTAAAGTCATAACAGATGACATTCATCAATCAATCAAAAGGGAACACGAGCAAGTTGAGAGGAAAAAATTACAAGATGAGATTAACGAAAGGAAAAGGGCTGAATATGTCTCACTACCCAGTGATTCTGATTTACTGCAGCAGAAAATGAAGAAGAAAAGAGGATAGCTTGGACCTTTAGAAAAGACTTTCAACATGGCGCAAAGGGACACTGATAAAGAGGCTGCCAGAATGTTTTATGCCAGTGCGTTATCCTTCAATTTTGCAAAATCTCCTTACTTCAGACAGTTTTGTAGAACTTTGGCCAATAGTAATGTGGCTGGTTATACCCCTCCTACTTATAACCGGAAGGGTACCCTAAGAACACGCACTTCGAGCCTTAACGAGCCAGAATTGGAGGCAATTACGTTTGATGAAGAAGAGGAGTAGAGCTTGATTGGGAATGCTAGTTTAGTTTGATTTCAAGTGGAAAACTTATTTTGAAGTTGTAACATTTTGGATGTTTAACTTTATTTTGAATTATGTTTTGTTTGAATTTGGATTTTTATCATTATATGAAACATTTGTATTGTGGTAATTTGCCTTTTTGCTTTAATATTGTTGTTGTGTACTTTAATTGAACAATTTTTAAAAAAATTGTAGGACGTATCCTCGTACCCATATCCACAATTCGGATCCTTTTTAACCGTATCCCCATATCTTAATTTTAAAAATGAGAAGAATCCGACCCCTAAATATGTACCCATATCCGACACCCGCACCCGAGTCCGAGCTACATAGCTCTCTTCTCCAAACTCGTTCTTGTTCAATTGTTTTCTATGTTGAGAAGATTTCAATATTCAAGCAATAATCAAAATCTAATTAAAAATGAAATTTTAGGTTTCTTGACAAAAAAAGTTAAACTCAAAAGAACCTCTAATAAACTAAGCACGTGCTTGAGCCACATTATTTAAAAACTCAATTTTTCCAAATTAATTTTTAGCCACATTCTTCGAATAAAATAATTTTGCACATAAACCCAAAACATTGTCCTATTTTTTAATCACATTCCAAAAAAAGCACTATTACAAAACACATATTTCATAAAAATGGGGCTCAAACAAAGCCTTTTTTTACTTCTAAATGGTTGCAATGATCTGGCATTTATATCACGGTTTCCCTATTCATTTTTACTATATTATCTGTCTTGCAAATTTTTCCTAATGAAGCTTTTACCATCTTTTATTTGAACATTGTAGTGACTGAAATTCATGGACGGACATTTGGAGTTTGGACATTGTTGACTTGCACTCTATGCTTTCTGTGTGCATTCAACCTTGACAACAAGCCTCTGTATTTGGCAACCTTTTTATCCTTCATATACGCTTTTGGCCATTTCTTGACGGAGTACCTCATTTACCACACTATGGCTATTGGAAATCTGACAACTGTTGGCATTTTTGCGGGTAATGCTGCCAAAATAATTGCCTGTTATTTATTTCTTCAGTCATGTATGATCATTCCCTGTCAGACGTCATCTTTATAATGTTATCTATCATGCATGGCCTTGTTTATGTCCATGCAAACCAGCAGCATGTTAGCATCAACACGTGATTTGGAAGCCATAATAGCGTGTTTATGTAGAATGATAATAAATAGTTGAGAGTCTATATTTTTTTGATGAAATATGAAGGCCGTGGACATGGGTTGATGGAAATGCACAAACTGTTCGACAGTGCATGATTGTCTAGTTTCTACTGCTGTTTATTTGGTCGCTGTTGAAACGATGTTATTTTTTTCTTTTTTTCTTTTGAGTATTCTTTCGCATCGTTATCTCGTTTGTAATGAGGATGCTTAAGCTTGCTTTGCAGATGCTATTATCATACAGATGCAATAAGCCACAATCACAGACACAGCATTTAGCTGCATTATAATTATAATCCGTTTTTTCATTCTAATAAATGGGTGCCATTTATAATTAGGATTTCTTATGATTTAGGAGATATGGGTATTTTGATAACTTTAGGATCTAATAGTAGCCTAATTAGGGTTTCTGTGTAATACTGCTATTGTCATACTTGCCAAGAAATACTTTCTATCAATATTTCCATATATTTCTAAAGAAGATTAATACTCCGTTAAACTGCTGAATCATTTGTTTTCAGGCACATCTATAATATGGATGTTGTTGCAGTGGAATTCACATCAACCAGTCAAGAGTAAGCATTTGTAAAAGTGAACTTGAGAGTTGGCTACCACAATTCTTCCTTGAAGCAGAAGAGTGCATCAATTTTCTTGCAATCCTTTGTATTCTTGCTTCCAATTATACTGTAATGGGTGCATCAGTAAGCACTTACTAGTTAAGCTTATAAAGAATCTCACTGTCTTGGCTTAAGCTAACTGAATCAGCATATGAGTATGCACCTCTATCCAAATTATACTGTTTTGCCTATTAACTCTTTCTGACTGGCCTCTGAAGTATTGTAAACCATGTAACAATTCCTTTATCTGCTGCAATCATTGTGCAATGGAATTTTCAGATATTTCTCGAATTTGGTTTGATGTGATATGTGAAGTTTTCGAATGTTAAAGGTTAAAAGAACCAAACACCGATATGTTGTACCCATCATTGTGAATCCTATATTTACTCATGCAGATGTACAAATATGTATCCACAGGTTCTGAAGAGCAACCACGTTGTGAGGTAATCTTATGGGTTTTTTTTTTTTGGTTTGTGAGTGGCTTTCTGTGATGTGAATTTCATAATGTCATTAGGTAATCGCAAGTGATATTGAATTTAAAGCCAAACAAATTTATTTCAGTCATCTCTACAATTTCATTAGGACATACTAAATTGACTTGTTCTATTGGTAGTTGGCAGTTATGAAATTGGGCCCAAGTGCAATGAATATGAGTTCATTTCTCAGAAACTGAAAAGATAGAGAATAGGGTACTCAGAGACCATGAGGTCCAAGGCTAATAGTTAATGAAAAGGGAATAAATTAAGATAAAAAAATAAAAACAGAAAAGAAGTGTAAAAGGGGTTATATCCTATTATTGAATGATTATTTGATTACCTTTTGTAAATTCTTGAGGGAAGTGCATTCCATAGAATATTTGCATGTACATGCACACACCATCTGGTCTTGAGGTGCAAAACCAGAACTATACAGTTTAATAAAATACTTTGAATTCATCATAAGAAATTCTGAAAATTTTGTGGAACAATGATTTTATTCATTTATAGTACATTCATTTCTGCTATTGCATTTATGAAGAACCACTTAACGAATATATCCTTGATCAGTAATTTTCTGAATCAAAGTGCAGATTCTTTCTTAACTCCACCTTGAAAATATCCTTTTGTTGCATCTCAAATCAGCTCCTCATACTAAATTAATTACTAGTTATATATTGTACCATCTTTACTTGTCTTCTGTATTATTCATCCTTGTCATCTTCGTCGATTATATCCTGCAACTGTTGATGCTCTCCTTCATCTTCATTCTTGTCCTTTTCACCGTCTTCAATCTCTTCATCTCCATCAACGGTCTCTTTTGCTTTGCTTTCTTCGTCCTCTAGATCCACTTCTTCAAATAGTTGAGGCTTGATGTCTTTTCTCCCCAGTTTCAACATTGGAAGCTCGTTTTCTTCATTTTCAGATACTTGTGTTGAGACAGATTTTGACTTGTTGCAAGATTGCTTCACTTGGTAAAGTAGCCATATGCATATTGCAAGTAGTAGACATATTTGAAGGGCATGCTTTACCTTTAAACTTTTTGATCTTTGATTTCTGCTGCCTGCTGGCTTCAGCATCTCATCTATTTCAACTCAGGCAAATAAGAGAAATAAACTTTAAGGACATGCTTGGTACGTTAGACTGAACAAAATAAGAATTACAGATCACATTTGACGAGATTTATCAGTTGTTATTTATTAGTTTCAACATCTAGTCTTCGACTCATCAAACGTGTTCTTCCTTTAACCCTATCTAGTTTCTACACTTCTTCAACAAAAAGGTTTAGAACACATAATTGCACATAAGAGTGAAGCAAACTCTATGGTCACTTCACAAGAAATTTCATTACACTCTTTCCAACATTTATTCACCAAACAAGCTAAACTTCTCATATGTCTCCAATAATACATCTAGCCCTTGAAAATGTAACCAATTACAAGCAGCAATTCATCATATATACAGAACTAGAAGCAGCAAAAACATGTTCAATACAAATCAGCAAAGAATTTATACAACTTCAAAGTCACATATATGAAACTTGCTCCAATATTCAATATTTTTTGGGAACTTTTAACGGCACGCTTGCTACGTTAGACTCGACAAAATAGAAAATAAACTTTAGTTTTGATGGAATTTATTAGTCATGCTACTTTAACACAAGGTTCAGGAGACAAAATCGACGAGTCTTGAAACAATCTTTCAAACATTTATTCATCAAACAAGCTCGAAATTCATCCAATAATGAATCTAGCTGTTAAACATATAACCAATTACTAGTAGCAATTCATCATATAAAAGCAGTAAACACATGTTCAATGCAGATTAAGCCACAAAAATGAAATAAACCCATAAACTTGGCAATAATATATACTACTTACAACAGTATCAGTGTAAATCTACAGATTATGCAGAAGATAAAGTAAAATGAGTGGACAGAAAACCTTACCAATGAAGAAGAGGCTGGTCTTGAAATTCATATATTAGCTGCACTTTACTGGTTTTAGTTTGTGGCTTTGTCGGTGTGATTCACATCAGCACACAGTACACACAGTTTTGTGAATGTATTAACTCAAACTTGGCAGCTGGTGTTCATCTGTTGGGCTACCGGTGATTTCTTACTGTCCCTACCAATGGATTTTTCTGTGGCTGGATATATCAGTAATATATATATATAAATGCAATATAGGAAATTTATCGAGAGGAGGAAAAATTTGTGAAAAACAAGATAATTAATTTTTGGGTATGGTATGGAGTAACTTTTTTTGGTAGCTACTTGTAAAAATAGGCAATAGCAATATTCTTGCCAATTGTGCATGATTATTGCACAGAGAAATTAACACAAGATTATAAAAGAAAATTTTTAAATAAGATTTATGAGTGTGAAAGTAACGTCTAATTCATATAGAAGTTGGGGTAATAAAGTAAGAAAGTGGGAAAAAATGGAACTAACTTTTGGTAAAGTTAGAGTCTTTCCAAATTTTAAAATTAATGTTTGGTAGGGATTAAAAACTAAATTTTAATTTAAGTGAATGTCAGCAATTAATGTTAACCACTTATTTAATGGGATTCACAACTTTTCAATAACGCATTTCATCGACTTTATCAAAATATATAAAAAATTTGATTTTAATATCCCTGCCTGTTTACAATAGGCTCACTTAAGAGAATTCGATTGCACTTTCAGATTAAAAACTTTATGTATGATCAACGCTTTGGCATTACAGAAAGCTCTAGCTTTGCAACTAGCTAGGCTTAAACATTTCAAATAGAAAAATGACAAGTGTACAACATATTCTGTATACTTTATTTGACAGCTCTTTCACACAATGTGAGACTCACGATTATTTTAAACACGGCCCCACTCTCTCATGTAAGAAGGCTGTCAACAATGTTGTAAAATAAGCTGTATCTGTAACACAATTCTTTCAAATATTGTGTATGCTAGAGAATTTTGCATTTGTGTGTTCTATAGAACTTGAAATTGTTTCCTTAAGGAAGAATTCTGTCTTTGTTGGAGCTATTGACATATATTTCTCCAATTTTTATGTCACACATGAACATTTCTCTCACATTTTGAGAAATCTTTTAAATATGTTGACTCAGTTAGAAAAACTTACTAGTTGCTTCAGGCATAGACATAGTAAGTTGCTTCAGTCATCCATCAAGAGAATGACCAATAAAATGTGTATTGAGTAGGTCGACGTCGGCAGTTTTTCTTTTTCAATTAAAACTACGTAGATGGCTTGTTTCATTAAAGGACATGCTTGGTACGTTAGACTGAACAAAATAAGAATTACAGATCACATTTGACGAGATTTATCAGTTGTTATTTATTAGTTTCAACATCTAGTCTTCGACTCATCAAACGTGTTCTTCCTTTAACCCTATCTAGTTTCTACACTTCTTCAACAAAAAGGTTTAGAACACATAATTGCACATAAGAGTGAAGCAAACTCTATGGTCACTTCACAAGAAATTTCATTACACTCTTTCCAACATTTATTCACCAAACAAGCTAAACTTCTCATATGTCTCCAATAATACATCTAGCCCTTGAAAATGTAACCAATTACAAGCAGCAATTCATCATATATACAGAACTAGAAGCAGCAAAAACATGTTCAATACAAATCAGCAAAGAATTTATACAACTTCAAAGTCACATATATGAAACTTGCTCCAATATTCAATATTTTTTGGGAACTTTTAACGGCACGCTTGCTACGTTAGACTCGACAAAATAGAAAATAAACTTTATTTTTGATGGAATTTATTAGTCATGCTACTTTAACACAAGGTTCAGGAGACAAAATCGACGAGTCTTGAAACAATCTTTCAAACATTTATTCATCAAACAAGCTCGAAATTCATCCAATAATGAATCTAGCTGTTAAACATATAACCAATTACTAGTAGCAATTCATCATATAAAAGCAGTAAACACATGTTCAATGCAGATTAAGCCACAAAAATGAAATAAACCCATAAACTTGGCAATAATATATACTACTTACAACAGTATCAGTGTAAATCTACAGATTATGCAGAAGATAAAGTAAAATGAGTGGACAGAAAACCTTACCAATGAAGAAGAGGCTGGTCTTGAAATTCATATATTAGCTGCACTTTACTGGTTTTAGTTTGTGGCTTTGTCGGTGTGATTCACATCAGCACACAGTACACACAGTTTTGTGAATGTATTAACTCAAACTTGGCAGCTGGTGTTCATCTGTTGGGCTACCGGTGATTTCTTACTGTCCCTACCAATGGATTTTTCTGTGGCTGGATATATCAGTAATATATATATATAAATGCAATATAGGAAATTTATCGAGAGGAGGAAAAATTTGTGAAAAACAAGATAATTAATTTTTGGGTATGGTATGGAGTAACTTTTTTTGGTAGCTACTTGTAAAAATAGGCAATAGCAATTCTTGCCAATTGTGCATGATTATTGCACAGAGAAATTAACACAAGATTATAAAAGAAAATTTTTAAATAAGATTTATGAGTGTGAAAGTAACGTCTAATTCATATAGAAGTTGGGGTAATAAAGTAAGAAAGTGGGAAAAAATGGAACTAACTTTTGGTAAAGTTAGAGTCTTTCCAAATTTTAAAATTAATGTTTGGTAGGGATTAAAAACTAAATTTTAATTTAAGTGAATGTCAGCAATTAATGTTAACCACTTATTTAATGGGATTCACAACTTTTCAATAACGCATTTCATCGACTTTATCAAAATATATAAAAAATTTGATTTTAATATCCCTGCCTGTTTACAATAGGCTCACTTAAGAGAATTCGATTGCACTTTCAGATTAAAAACTTTATGTATGATCAACGCTTTGGCATTACAGAAAGCTCTAGCTTTGCAACTAGCTAGGCTTAAACATTTCAAATAGAAAAATGACAAGTGTACAACATATTCTGTATACTTTATTTGACAGCTCTTTCACACAATGTGAGACTCACGATTATTTTAAACACGGCCCCACTCTCTCATGTAAGAAGGCTGTCAACAATGTTGTAAAATAAGCTGTATCTGTAACACAATTCTTTCAAATATTGTGTATGCTAGAGAATTTTGCATTTGTGTGTTCTATAGAACTTGAAATTGTTTCCTTAAGGAAGAATTCTGTCTTTGTTGGAGCTATTGACATATATTTCTCCAATTTTTATGTCACACATGAACATTTCTCTCACATTTTGAGAAATCTTTTAAATATGTTGACTCAGTTAGAAAAACTTACTAGTTGCTTCAGGCATAGACATAGTAAGTTGCTTCAGTCATCCATCAAGAGAATGACCAATAAAATGTGTATTGAGTAGGTCGACGTCGGCAGTTTTTCTTTTTCAATTAAAACTACGTAGATGGCTTGTTTCATTAATAACGATGTTGACCCTTATTGGTAAACAGTGGCGAATTCACATGGTTCATGTGGGGCCATTGACCCCACAATGTTTTCTGATTTTGATTTAATTTTTTAAAAACTTTTCCTAATTTCTGGTCAGTGACGATTACACATCCGTCTTCAACAACTTGAACAAACCCTCCGCGTATACTTTGGGATCCAACGAAGAAGATAGCAATGCCTCAAAAAATAAAAAATGCAAATTAAGGTTCGATCTTTTAAAAAAATTGTAACTTAACTTTGATCCTATAATGAAAAATATCTGGTTCCACGACTATTTATAAGTCCACTTAAACAAGCATTAAGCAGTTGTCTAAATTTTTTGGGCCACATAATGGATCTCGTGCTTCTGATTTGACATACACGGTTTTGTCCTATTAAGATATTCATCATACTGAAAATTTGCCCCGTTTGGCCCCATTCTCTTTTATTTTTTCTTTAATTTTCAACCAAACAATCTTTTATAAAATAATATTATATGTAAATAAAAAATTTTACATTTTTTTCAACTACACATTTTTTCAAAAAATACTTTGGACATTAAAATGTATAAAAAATGGGAGCAAACGGGGGCTATATAAGGTTTTCCAAGTTGGGTAATATTTCTAAATTTTGAGTATATAATAAATTAGTATATCTATAGAAACATTAATTTCTCCATAACTATCCACTTTCCAGAGCAAGTAACTTACCACTTTTCCCTTTCTATTGATATTGATCTAGTCTTAAAGGGAGTGTTTTGGGTCTATGGGTCATATTCTGGGTTTGTAAATCGGCGGAAGGTTGGGCTCAATATTCAGATTTAGGGAAAATTACATCCCACCAAGGTTTTAAAGATCACTATCCTTAAATCAGGTAAAAAGTTTAATTAAGCACAAATCAGATAATTAATATATAATAACAATCCTATAAAAGTAAATAAACATATCTCCATACTCCTACCTAATAAATCAGTTTTCATTCCATGGTTTACACTCAGGTGTCTCTCTCTGCAACCACTCGAATGACTCTCGATGAATACCCACTCTGACGATCTAGTGCTCGACGATGGCGGCGGCCCACCAATAGATATGTTATTTTCTTCTCTCTCTCTCTCTCTCTCTTAATTACTGAGTTTGATTTCTTCGATAGATATGGTGGCTTATGTGGCCGATGGTTGCTGTGGTGATTTTTGTACAATTGTTGTGGTGTGTGTGGTTGTTGTGATGGTGGTTTGTGGTTGATGTGGGTGTAGTGGTAGTTTTAGAATTGTCGACTGGCAGCTATGAAGGTGTGGTGGTGATGAAGTGGTGGCACTGCTGGCGATGATGGGAGTTGATGTTGGTGTGGTGGTGACTGTGGCAGTGGCGATGGTGATGGCGACGGCAACTGCAGTGGAGTGGGAATGAAAATTGTGGTCTAGGGTGTTGTGACCATTATTTAATTTTATTTTTTGGGTTTTGGATCTAGCGGGTGGAGGTGATGGTGTTCTGAATGGTTTTTTGGTTGTGATTTGACTGTGTAGGTGGCGGCTGTGATGGTGGTGGTGTAGTGGATCAATTTGCATTTTAGGGGTTTTTTTGAGTTTTGGATCTGATCAATTCGTATTTTGGGTTTTCTTTTTTTTTTTTCTTTTTTTTTTTTTTTGGGATTTTTTTTTTTTTTTTTTTTCTTTTTTTTTTTTTTTGGGATTTTTTTTTTTTTTTTTTTTCTTTTTTTTTTTTTTTTTTTTTGCCTTTTTGGGTTTTTTTTT